AACTTTTTGTTATACTCACACCTGTATGAAATACCTAAATTGTATTACATAAAGGTGTGAGGTGATTTTGCTTGATGGAATGATCAATTAAGTAAAGAGTATATTTTGAAGTAATAAGTAAGTAAAGAACGTTTATTTTTTTTTTTTTTTTTTTTTTATTTTTATTTTATTTTTTTTTTTTTTTGGGCCCTGTAATTAAATATCCCAGAAGTCCGATTTATGGACCGTGAGAGGTCTGATATGTTGTCCTCCTTCACACCTTCTTCAGCTTAATTCTAACACTTCTTAAAACTAATAGATGTGTCTATTTGAACACTCCATGAATTTAAATGTGCTGTTCTGATGAAAGATTGTGGTATGAATTGATACTCTGTAAAACTGTAAAATTGCAAATAATAATATTGAAATATTGATTGAAAATATTTGTGAAACTGTTTGTTCAGGAAATATTTATCAAAAGTATGACTTCAAGATGTTTACATATACTGGATTCGGTTAAGCCGATTACTCATGCATTCACCAATTTGATATTAAATATAATGAACTGAACTTATAAAATTGCACTGTCAAAATATATTTACAAAATGTGATCATCAACACTCATTGTGAATACTTTGTATACCTCTTTCAGTTAAGCCATTTACCTCTTTACTTTACCAGTTTTATACTAATGATACTAACAGCTGAAACACAGGATAATGAAAAGATGGTGATTTGTAAAAATACTGTATAATGAGATGATAATTGCAAATGAGCTGTGATACAATAATTAATAAAATTTATACAATGTGATAACCTTTTTTGTACACAATATAACAATATTTTGAAAGAGAGAGTGAGAGAGTTGATTGTAAGATTGAATGTTCAAATTGGCGGTTTGTTCATTTTTTAAAACTGCAAAGTCTCGGGAAAACCTAGCCTTGACGATTTTATTTATTTGTTTTGGATCACCAGACTCCCCAAAGATGTTCGTAACGATCAAACTGGCCAGTTTACAATTTAATCAAACAGGGACTATTATGTAGGTTTGTGATCTACATCACTCCTTGCTGATCAGTGCAACGGGGCCAATCGACTGCTGAGTCGATTATTTGATAATTTTTTATTTAATATTTAATATTTATGAATTTAATGGGAGTCTATCCTCATGACCCTTTATCAACCCTAGCCTTCGACCGAGCACTCTGTTACCCCCATTTACGTTACACAATCAAACTCTCACTATTAAAAAATGTAATACTGTTCAAAAATTATTCTACGCATGAAATACAAACGTATTAAATAATAATACTGATGATGATAGAATCTGACTGTACATAGAATACAAAAATAATAATATCACAGATAAACATTGCTCTTTAAATTAATATACCATTTCAATTCAATTTAATAAATAATTTTCATTTGACTAGGTTCACTATTATAACTTAAATTCTTTGTATGACATGACCAAATTTAATAAAACATTTTATCCTGAATCGTGACCATGTGCTCTAAGTAGACCAAATGAAACATGAAAATCTCAGACCAAACAAAACATGATTCATAACTTGTAAAACGAGTGGTACATGTGAAAAAATGTGGCAGATTGGCAAGACTATTTTAATACTAAAACACAAATAACACAAACATTTACTTACGTACACATGTCGACACATTAACATTCATTCCGACGAAGATTCACGCGTACCGAACATTTAAAAACTGACTCGTGGTAATTTTGACTTTTTGTCTGACCGAGCGGAATATCACGACACGGTTTTTTCTGGTGTAGGACTTATTAATTCTTGTTTTTTTCGAGCTGGCGTTTAATGATTCAATTGAAAATACCGTCACGACGACCCGCTATTCGCTAGAAACTGACATTTGCTATCGATATGATGCATGTACGAATTTTCATCACGAACGCGAACAATCAATCCGGCATCTCAACTGTCTCGACTTAATACTAATAAAACACACCCCCAAATGCAATTCGGCGAAATTTTGACAATTGCGATCGTTTGATGCACGTACAATTTCCGCCCGAACGCTAATTTCCGAGCTACGAATGAAGATATTAATAAATTCGTCCTACACCAGCGACAAAACGCGACTTCACATGTTGACTACGCGAGTACTGAGCCACGAGTGACGACGAGACGTTTGCACGCGACACGGTTCGAGTGTAGTATTCCTCCGCGTTACGTCATGTTGGACTGACTTGTCCATTGCCTGGCGCGGATTTTAAATCTTTGAATTTAAAATCGGCACAGTATATATTGATAAAATTTGGCAAATTTATTTATTTCATCCTATACTATTGACGTATGGTCAAAAAACACTTTTTACCTTCCCCGTAGCAGCGAACCTAAGCACTCGTTAAATCTAATGTTATTTAAATAGGGAATAATATGTCTTATTTATGGAAATATTTTAGTAAAAATGTAATCAGACGAGTTGAAATTCGCTTAGTCTGCAGGTTTGCTGCGGCGGGGGTATTTATTTTAGCAGTAGGGTATGTATTTTATTTTATGAGCAAGTTAGTGTTGTATATGTTGTACATATGGAGGTAGACTATTATCTAAGGGAGTAGGCTATGTTTTATCTATGCTATTATGTAATTTGTACAATAAAGCACTTTTTCATTACATTTCATTTCATTTTCATTTACTTAATAAATATTAGAGAGCTTTTCACAGGCACATGGCAATTTTGTAATAAATTAAAAGGTTACCTCAAAACATTACCATTTAAAAGTTGAATAGTTATTTCTCTTGCCAACTCTCACCCTCCACTACACGCGCGACTAATAGTCAGTAATAGCTTTGACTATTAATACTACAACGTAATAGTCAGTAACACCAGTATGCGCGCGGAATGGCATTCCGCATCTTAACTTACTTCTTACTGGAAATGCTCTTTTACCAAATACAGTTCATAAAGCATCAAAATTTCAAATAATAGGTGAATAGATAAAGATAAATTTCAATATAATTACAAATATTTTAAATTGAAAATGTCCTGTTGAAAACCAATCAGTCAATCGCTGCCTGACACACGCAGACTGAGTTAAAAATGGCGCTCGTAAAGATTTCTTGAATTTGCAATTGACAATCTCTGAACGTCATTTTTGACTCAGTTGTTCTTTTGAGCTCAAATTTGCAGCATTGCATACTACTTATACGAGGGCTATCCAGAAAGTAAAGAACGTTTTGTTATGACGTCGCTAGGCGCGCGCCGATCTCGTACATTTTCGTGCGTGCACACTCCGCAACTCAGTTGGCATCCAGCCATGACAACTGGAGCATTCTCGCGCTGCCCGTGTTTTCACAATTTCAACTTAAGATGAGCGCTGCGATTAAAAATACCACCAGTTAAGAGGTGCGGTCAGTGATACGGTAGACATTTATCGCCAAGTGTATGAATTTTAAGGAAACAACGTAATGATTGAACGTTCTGAGAAAATGGTGCATTCAGATTAAAAATGGCCGATCTTACGCTCATGAGTCATGAGAAGCGAAGGGCGGACGCCCGAGCATTTTGACTAATGGAAATGGTCGCTAATGTTGATGAAAATTTTGCGAAATCCGCCGATTCCCGATAACGGAGCTTTTTCAAACAACAAAGTCCGTGAAACTTGAGGAGAAGTTTCGGTTTTACGTGTCCTCTAACAAAAACCATATCACTGATCGTACCCCTTAACTGGCGGAAATTTTTATCGCAGCGCTCATCTTAAGTTGAAATTACAAAAAAAAACGGGCAGCGTGAGAATGCTCCAGTTGTCACGGCTGGATGCCAACTGAGTTGCCGAGTGCGCACGCACCAAAATGTATGAGCTCAGCGCGCGCCTAGCGGCGTCATAACGAAACGTTCTTTACTTTCTGGATAGGTAGCCTTAGTAAATGTACGTTTAAGATTTTCTTCTGACTTCTAGGGGGCGTCCCCCTGAGGAGGTTAGCACTTCACTGAATAATGTTTTAAAATGATTTTTAAGACTAAGCTTAGTAGCTAGCATTGTTTTAAGTTTAGTTGCTCTATCTTTATTTAAATTTTAAATTTAACTGTTTCGGAACTTCAAATCTACTACGAAGCTGAAGCTTGATTAAGTAATTAATTATATACCTAAATATTCACAAAATATCATAAATTATTTATTAAACAAAAAACATAAACATGACTGTAAACAATCCTACTTTGGTCAAATTCCTACAATATCTAATAGCGGGTAGTTTCTTAACTGGGCTATGCTAATATCGATTGAAACTATCGAATTGAAAATATTGATTAATAATCCATAATATTAAATATATCTATTATAAAATTAAACTATCATAACCAACCTAACCAACCAAACTTACTGATGGTAATAGGTTTACTAATCAATTCGATAGTTTCCATCGATATTAGCATAGCCCAGTTAAGAAACTGTACCCCTAATAGCCTAGGCCTACAGTGATGTTTTCTGTTGAAACTTAGCCTAATTTAGCAGTTAAAAAAATGGTAATTATTCCGACGTAGTGACTACTCGCTAAAGTGATTTTTTTTCCCATTATGACCTAAGTTAAATTTCACGCTGAATCCGAAAATGACGTTTTTATTTTTCCGAAAAGACCGGAAATTACCGAAAAACGGAAAAAAAAATATTTTACTCAAAATACGTCATGTGGGTACTCAAAATATGCGGAATATTGTGTAGGCCTAAGTTAGATACAGGAGATACCTTAGGACGAAAAAACTGAATAATCGGTCAGGTTAGGCTTGGATAGGTTAGGCTTGGTTAGGTTAGGTTAGGTTAGATTTAGTTAGGCTTGGTTAGGTTAGGTTAGGCTTGGTAAGGTAGGTTAGGTTAGGTTAGGATAGGTTAGGCTTGGTTAGGTTAGGCTTGGTGAGGTTAGGTTAGGTTATTTTAGGTTAGGATAGGTTAGGTTTTGGTTAGGTTGGATTAGAATAGGGTTTACCTAACCTTACCAAACCTAACCTAACCAAACCTATCCTAACCTAAGTAGAATTTTCCTTACCTTATTCGATTAACTTTAACGGAATCTCAAATCTAAAGCCTCAAAACAACACAACCACAACACAACACAACCACTACTCACTCAGTCACTCACAAGTTGCTCTATTTCAGTTCTTTCTAGTCCAATTTAGTCCAGTTGCCTGAAAGAAAAGGGACTTGAAATTTTTAACCATGTGACTGTTTTTTAGAATCGAGTATAATTTTACATAAATTGATTGATGTTGGAACTTAATTTAGTATAATTAACCACCTTATGTAAGATTTATATGATTTTAACAATGTTTTATAGCATTAAACGCAAATATTAACATTTAGGGTAATTTTTAGGGTAACTCAAAGTAGATTTAGGGTAATTTTAGCCCGTCTTTAGGGTAAAATCAAAATCACAACAATGTGGTGGCAACACTGAACCAGAGAGTAGTGACTAGTGACTCCAGTTATAATCTATTCATCGCAATGTAGATAACATGGTAGACAGATGACCCCAGCTCATTTAATTCATGTATACTTCCGTACACTTTCCTCAAAATCTTGTTATCAAATACAATAGCTTTCCTTTCATGTATTACAAGATTAAAAAAAAACAACTAAAGAACAAATCGCCTATGTGGTAATAAGGTAGCTGAGCTTGATGTCTTATGTGAACAGAATAACTTGGATGTCTTGTGTGTATCCGAATATTGGCTAGTTCCAGAAGAAGTTGGATACTACCATAGACTAACGGAGTATGTTTTATCTATGATACTACGATAAGGTCAGCGATCTGCTTGAGCTGGCCTCCTATTTCTACAGGGCAAATCCTAGTGGTGGGACAGCTATATTTGTAAACTCTGGCATAAGTTTTGAAGTTATAGATCTTAGTGACTTCTGTGAAGAACTGGAAGGTGAGTTTTCTGCTGTACTTTTGCACGGTTGACTTAATAGTAGTTGCCATGTACCACTCATCGAATGGCCACGTAGAACGTTTTTTTGCCTTATTAGAACATTGCATTTTTTATTTCTTTTGGTCTGGTAGTGGTTATTGGTACTGACCACAATATTGATATGCCAAAGTCAAATAGAGAATCAAATTGATTTCCTAAACTTGCTTCGAAGTTTTGGGTTTTATAGTAGCGTACTTTTTTTATTTATTTTATTTATTTATTTTTACGGCAAACACCATTTTTTACAATTGTTTTACATTGTGATACATGCGACAAGATGCCTATTACATGCTGATAATGTTGTACAGATACATCAGTGATACTTGCAAAGATTAAAATGAAAAGATGAAAAACATGTTCAATGAAAATGACATGCAGTTGTGATAACAATTGAAGAGTGAAAGTTGAATTATCTAGGTAATCATAATAATTAAGTAACATGCTCAGCGAATAACAGACTATAACTATAGGTAACAATAACAAATAAAATATATAACATGCTTGGCGATAAATAATCTATAACTAGTTAACAATAATAATTGGCAACAATACTGACAGTGGTGATAGATGCAATACGGAAACGAGTAATAGTGATAACAATAACAGACTAGAAATAGATAACAGTGATAATGAATGAAGTAGGCAACAGTGATAAAATTTATAAAAAAGATAACAAAACATAGACTCTGATGCAAACAGCAGATAAATCGATACTTAGTCCAACTAGAAATAATGCATCCCTTGACTCATTCATCACCAATCTAGACTCGTGGAATTATCAAGTTGTGGTTAGTGATGATCAAATTGCTGATCACAAACATAAAATTATATTTGTGTATACCACCAAAAGACATGAGTGGTTTTATACCTAAAACTGTGTTCTTTAGGTTAGGCTTGGAAAATGAAAACCGTATCAACTCTTTCTGTGACGATATTGCGAACCAGACAGCCCAATGGTTTAAGTGTGTTCTCCCAGCAAATGAAGCTTTTGATGAGTTTTTCTCAAAATCTAAGACAAAATTTGATCTGCATTTTTCACTTAAACAAAAGACTGTAGATTTGGCTTGTCAGGATACTCGGGGATCAAACAATAGGATCAAAAACTGGTACACGAGCGAACTTGCAGATTTTAAGAGCCATATACTCCTGGTTCATGACATTTCAAAACGTAGACCGGGTGTTCTTCCATGCCTTTATGATTTAAGAAGAGAGAGTATCGTGTCCGCCTCCGTTAAGCAAAGCAATCAGCCGCTGCAGCCCACATCGCTAGTTCTGCCAATCCCTGCAAGGCGGCATGGAAGCTGGTTAGCAAGAGTAGGCCCAAAGGGGGAGCAGCTGCTGAACTTGATTTTGCTACTGCCGATGACTTCAACCACTTTTTTTATCGAGTCAGTAGATGATATTATTGGTGGTATACCGTGTAATACTGATGTTTACAATTTTAGTGATTCAATTCCATTGGTTAGTGCTAGTTTTGAATGGAAAACCATAAATGTATCTGATGTTGTAAATAATTTTAAGTCCTCTGACAGTAAGGACATCTTTGATATGTCGACTTCACTAATCAAAAGGGTTGTTAAGATATACTTGCTCCTTTGCTGGCCCACTTGTTTAACTGCTGACTTTTGCAGGGCATTTACCCTAATGTATTAAAGACAGCCAGAACTGTTGTGGACAAAAAGGGTGCCAAAAATGTTTTATCTAGCTATAGGCCAGTGTCCTTGATTCCTATGTTTGGTATGATTTTTGAAGCTGTCATGTTAAGTCAACTCTGTGATCATTTTGAAGCGCACGGGCTCCTGGTCCATGCCCAGCATGGTTTTCGGAGGGGCAAATCTACTGTCTCGGCTTCTGCAGGTCATCCTGGAAGCATTTGATGGAAAATGTTCAACTTCCGTTGTCCTGTGTGATTTGTCACGAGCTTTCGATTGTGTTTCACATGACTTATTGCTCCAGAAGCTTCCTAAGTATGGGGTTGGTCCCCGTGCGCTTGGAATGTTCGGGTGTCCTATCTTAATAATAGGACTCAAGTAGTGTCATGGGCAGGTGTGAATTCAAAAGATCTGGTAGTTCAGCATGGGGTCCCACAGGGCTCGGTGCTTGGGCCTTTCTTATTTATAGTTACAATGAATGACCTTTATCACAATGTTTCTAATGATGTGTTGCTGTCTGCGGACGATACAACTCTGTTCTCTAAGAACACTGACCCTATCACAGCTAGAAATTGTGTAAATACATTGGTTAATGCAGCATTTGAATGGTTTGCCGGAAATAGATTAGTCTTAAACAAAGATAAGTCTCAGGAAATCATGTTTAGTCTTAACAAAAATGTTGCCAGCAGTGATCCTGTAAAGCTTCTGGGTTTCCCCCTGGATTCTGAGCTTGGGTGGAGTGACCACATTGACGCCTTCTGTACTAAGCTCAATCGAGTGATTTTTCCTTTTGAGAAACTTATCTCATGAATTGCCACTTCTTACAAAAGAATGTATCTTAATTTAAAATTTAAAAATCTTTCCTGGCTCCTAAATAGTAAATCAAAATTGACCATTGTAAATAAATTATTACTATACAAAGTAATCCTGAAGCCAATTTGGACTTATGGAATCCAACTGTGAGGAACAACCAGTATTTCGAACATAAACATCATCCAACGATTTCAGTCCAAAGTTTTAAGGTTCATCCTGCAAACCCCGTGGTATGTTAATAACAATATCCTTCACAAGGACAGTGGAATTCCGACGGTTGAAGAGGAAATCACACCAATTAATGTAGTGAAAAATACCTAAAGAAGCTTGAAAAATCACCCTAAACACCTGGCTTTAAACCTCTTGGACAACAGTACCAGTATTCATGTTTTGGACCTAAGCACACGTTTTGTTTGAACAATTTAATCTTCTCTTCTTTATTTATTTATATTTTTTTTCATTGACATATTTTTAAGTTAGATCTGTCAATTGACAGAGACTAACTAACGTTTTATTAATAGTTGTTATTGTATTAGAATAAGCTATTACCGTAGTTTCATATTATGTTGTTTGTTGTTGTTCCGAATCGGTATGACATTCATTCAATAAAACGTTAAATTACCTGTGTCCGCCGGTCAATCCTGATAACAATTTGATAACAGTTTAACACAACATTCCAAATTTGCCGAACACCTAATTGACAGCAATCACAGTTTTTCCAGCCTGAATGAAAATTTAAAACCTTTACACATTTGTAGAAAAGTCGAGTAATTACATCACTAGAGCAATATGAAATTTATAGAGCACCTAAAACAACCCCCCACAACCTCCTGAATGATACAAGTACACTACAATGAAGCATTGTTAAAGTTGAATGAAACGCCACCTGTAGCTACAAAGGACAGAGACAGGACAAAGGTCAACTCTGCAAGTAACGTAAGGTCTGACCCCAGTCGAGACTCGACGCACGACCGACGCGCGTCTGTCCGTAATAACTAAAATAAAAGTAGGCCTACCGTGTATTTGTATGTTTTATTCGTGATTTATATAAGTGTAAAGTTCGTGTACGTACTTCAAGACGCACCCAATGGGGAAGATCAAGTACTTATATTAGGACTGATGATGACAATTTATTCTGCCGAAATGCATCTCCTGTAATAGGATACAGCTTTATTAGGATCGACCGGCGGACACAGGTAATTTCCCAGAGGCCAAAAACACCATCCGTTGAAATTCATACTATACAGTATATATATATATTTATATATGTGTCCGTTAGCGCGATAACTCAAGCAAAAATGATCCGATTTTGATGAAATTTGGTACAAACGTGTAAACCTACGTTTATTTGAACGAGTTCGCGAACCAGCATAATCGGACCATGGGAACAGGGGTTTATGGGGGGTTTTATGGGGTAAAAATGGGGTTTTCCCATTTTTTACCCTAAAAACAAAAAATTTTGTAATTTCTTTCTCAACCATTTTGTATAGCTTAAAAAAAGAAATAGTTTAGTTTTTTGAAGCGCTGTTGTATGCCTAACCGGTCACGGAGAAAATAAAAAAAGTGTAATTTAAAATTCTCATCTTCTTATGGAGAAAATGAAAACTGTTGTAATTTACTTGTTTATGGATATAATATTGATAAAATTTGGCAAATTTATTTATTTCATCCTATACTATTGACATATGATCAAAAACACTT